TGGGGCTCACACACAAGAATTTCACTCGCATGTGCTGTGCCAGTGTGCCTGCACATGTGATGTGACAATAAAAGTGATTTGATTTGATTTAGAAACGAAGAAACCTGCGAACATGTTACCGTGACAGAAACACGCATGAACTGTCCCACGAATACAAAACTCAATAAAAATACACATAAATATTTAATGCTTAAAAAAACGAAACTATGACAAAAAGTCAAAAATTAAATATTAATAAAATGTCCCACAAACACATATGAGACCACAGCCCACAAACCAACACTAAAATAAATTATCAAAAGACTCAAATTTATGTCCTCAGAATTCATGATTTAAAAAAACAAACAAAACAAAACCAAAAACCTTTTTAAATATTTGTATTTTTAAAGACAAAAAAAATCAGATGACCTAAAATGTAGATTAAAATGTCAAAAAATATGAACACATCTAAAGAACACCAAAATCTTCCAAATAAGAGAAAAATGTCAAAAATATATCATCAAAAATGGAAACAGTTCGACTTAACCAAACAAACTGAAATTAAAAATCAAATGAATCCACTGCAAATAAAAACAGAGTACACATTTTTTATTTGATGACACACATGCTTTTATTTTGGTAGGTCAGCTGTCTGATGTAGCAGACAAATTATTTTCAGTTTCCAGAATAAATAAATGCCCAAAAAACACAGACAGAAAATAAAGTTTAAATATTTAATGTTTAAAATTTACTAAAATGAGAAAAGTCGCAGTAATGAGTCATTTTCTCAAAGCAGTGAACCATCAGGTGCAGGTCGCCTCCATCAACTGACATTCTGTGTGCTCCGGAGGTGAAGACATGATGATGTCATGGCAAAAACAGCTGACAGCTTCCTGCTGATGGCACCTGAGGTTGAAACAGACTCACTTGAGCTCACCTGACACACTCACACTGCTCAGGTGAAGCTGAAACCTTTAACGAGCAGAAAATGACCTTTAACGTTTCCTCGCGTGAAAAAACGACCTTCGCGTTCTCAGTGTGATAACAAGAAGTACAGACGACAAAATAAGAGCGCAATGAATGGCTGAAAGAAGGTGAGGAAAACAGGAAGTGAAGCTTTTGGCACAGACACGGCGAGGACATCCCAGTTACTTTAATAAGAAATGATGTCACAGTGAGATCAGAAGTGTTCAAAGAGGGTAGAACTCCTGAGAAGATGTCAGAGCTGTGGCAGGTCAGAGGGCGGCGCCAGCAGTTCATCCACTTCCTCCTGCAGAGCTGCGGCTTTCTCATTCACGAGCATCTGAAACAAAGAAACTGTCACAGTTAAACTTCCTGTTTCAGTGTTTCTTCACACTGTAATGTCATCAAACACGGAGACCGACTGTGAGTGTTGTCAGCTCCACAGAGCATCACATCAGTCATTTAACACCATCAGTACTCGTGCTGATTTCAGGTACGGTGATCAGCTCGTGTGGGCGCGATCTCTGAGGACAGTCTCACCTTGGCTGAGGCCACGATCTGATTGGCCTGTTTCCTGTACAGGTTCTGGATGGCTGTGCAGAGAGCGGCTGGGTCGGCGTTCGCCATGTGAGTCAGCGTCTTGTAGCCGGCAGCGTACAGCTGCTTTGCTCTCGACTGCAGGGAAAAAAAGAGGTGATGTCAGAGCTTCAGCTGAGGCAGAGGACATGGAGAAGCTATGGAGGTTCAGATGGTTCTCACTTAAAATCACCTGAAGCAAAAAAAACTTTTCACGTTGAATAAAACTGTTCCCTTGATACAGAAACGTCGAGCATGGGACACCTCAGGGTTGCGAGCACCGCCCATTTCTCTTTAACCTGCTGACACGAACATCAGCAGCTCAGCACGTTCACCGATGAGTCAGCGGTGACTGGGACAAAAGCGAAACATCTGGCAGAGGAGAGGTGGGACGGGCCGTGAGTCGAATAACAACCACACCCGAACCACCTCCTGCTCACGGAGGTGTCAGCAGCACTTACACTCTCTCAGAACCATTAACACGCCACATTCAGCACAGGATGCACTTCCTGTAGCGAGTTTAAATATGTCTACAAAATAAAGTTCAAATAATCCTGAAACGTGACCTTTTAGTTTGAATGTCTCCAGAGTGAATCTGATTAATCAGGCTGAGTGGAATAAGCCGACATGAGAAACATCTGGCTCCCCTCTGCAGCGTTTTTAAACCAAAATATAAAAAGTGATCTAAGAGGAGTTTAATAAAGTGAAGTGTGAGGGAGCCGGATGCATCAGCGATCTTTAGAGAAGAAAGCTGTGGCCTAAATCCTTCTGAGCTTTCACGTCACAGTGAGATAAAGTAAAACTTTACAGCCATGATGGGACATTTAACACGTTAACATGACGGAGCGAAGACACAGAACCTGAACATTCTCCCTGACCTTCACTACCTTCATCAGGTACACCTCCAGGGCTACTTTCAGAAACATCAATAAAGAGAAGAAGAAGAAAGAATGGATGCTAACAGGATCAATGAAAGCTGACAGGAAGGAACTTAAAGCTGTAATAACCCTTTTACAAAATAAAACCTGAGCTGAGGTGGATGAAGATGGTGTTCATGTGATCAGTAACTGCTGAAATGGTCCACTTCCTGTGGTCCACAAACTCACGTGTTTATTACATAGAGATGGGAGTGTACTGGAGCTCTAATGTGCACTTGGGCAGGAAGTAGAATCGAGTGACAGCAGAGGATGCGAGCGCTGATGCGTTGACAAAATAACAGAACATGTTTTTTTTGTAAACCCTCCAAGCTGACAACAGGCTGATGATGTCATCACCCCGAACTGTGACGGTGCGGAAACTCATCACTCTTAACGTGTTTCAATGATGTCACACGAGCACACAGTAAGAAAAGGATGCAGGAGGAGAAAAAGAAAAAGAAGAAGAAGAAAGCAGGTGAAGAAGGTGTCTCACCTCCAGGACTCCGGCCACCTCCATCAGAGGGATAAGCTCCGCCTTCACGCAGTAACTGAGGCGCCGTGTCAGCTCGGCGAGCAGCGCTCTGAACGGCCAGAACTCCTCGAGCTCCTGAGACACAGAAACATCAGAGCATCACCATCTCACCTGAGACACACCTGCTGGCTCACCTTCAGCCTGCCCATTCTGGTATGACCTCTGGGTAAACTCCAGTGGTACCTCAGCAAAGTGCAGCACACAGGAGCAGAAGGCAGAGGCGGAGCCGAGCAGCGTCTGCACGAAGCCACGGCTCAGCTGGAAACGCTCGGAGACGCTCCAGACGTCCGTTTCCTTCAGCAGCGAGAAGAGAACAAGAGCGAGGTACATCCTCCTCACCGCTGCCAAGTTCAC